TACCTCAGAAAACCAATTTTGTAGCTGCATTCCTGGACCTTCAACATACTATTGGTACTTCAAACTATAAAAACATGGATGTTTTTCCTCAGCTCACAGGATAACCCTTTTTTTCCTGTTCATGGTAGTGTCTGTGCAATGATTCTAAGTGCAACTCCTTAAAAATACATCACATTATCACTCCCTTGAGGAACTGCAACTGAAAAGACAGAAAATACTCTTGCTCAGCCTTGTGTTCAACATGTTGTCACGCCAAAACCTTTAAGACAAAGAGGCTGAGATCTGAATTTGAGCTGTGACAATGCTGAATTGGGGAGACCTCAATCTGACTTCTAATCTCATCTCATGTGAGAGGAAAGAAGGCAAAAATGGAAGAAGAAAAAGAGATGATCTCCATTCCATTACTGGTTCCTTATCCAACAAAACTTCCTTGTTCCCAGCTCTCAGCGTGGCACTAAAATAATGTAATGCTGTGTTTCAGTGGATTAATTTATTTACATTCACCCAGCTTTTGATATAATCCATGAATTAGCAGAGATCAACCAGCACTTCACCTGCTTTTTCATTACTTGAAACTAATCAAAACATTGCATATTTACATGGGTCAAAACAAATTCACCTTTTAATCCTTTCCCTCAGTCCAAATCTCCCATTCCTGAGCCAGACATTAACACAGAAACACCCAAGCTGCTAACAAAGTTCTCATTTTTAAATTTTCCTAGATCAATGTGAAAATAATCTGCAATACAAGGATGAACTGCAACATACACACAGCTATTTCTGTAGAACAGCATATTCTCAAATTATATCCTCTATAGAATCTGAGAAAGTTTTGTACCTTTATAAAGACATGAAATATTTTTAAAATTAACTGAAGACCATATATGAGTTTTTTTGTTCACACTGCACTCATATCTACAGCATCAACTGTCTTAACACAGCTCTGTATACATAAGAATTCTGAAAAATATGATGAAAAATACCATTCAGCATCATGCAAGAAAGAAATAAAGCAGCAAACCTACTGGAGCTGCTGGTGCATGGGCAGAGCAATCTGTGGAGGGACGTTGATGAACCTTTCACTGAGGATGAGCCCCACAGGCTTTGTGCTGTCGTTGAGGAGCTTACTCAGCTGCTCCACCACGCGCTGCTCACAGCTCTGCTCACAGCGACTCACAAGCAGCTCTTTGATTTGCTCAGCACACTGGGTGCCCTGCAAGCAGAAGGTGCATTTCCTTTACCTGATACAACAGATGTTTACACAAGAAAACCTTGAATGCCACCTTTGAGGGAGCTTCCTACAGGCCTGGTGGCAATTCCCCTCAGCAGCCTCTAAAGCACTGCACAATTCTTTGAAATCATTCTCCAGCCCTGAAGCTGAGGGCAAGCAAAGCTTGTGAAGGGATGAGAACAAGGAACTGCAACACCACAGCAAAACTCCAAACTGCACAAGATCAAAGGGAGGAAATGCAAGAGATTGACAGCTCATTTATGATGGAATTTCTAGGACCAGTTTTAATTCTCTGGTTCATGTTTGACCCTCAGTAAGTTACTGCACTCAAAAAAAGCTACGCCACTTCAAGTTTTATCACCCCAGTCCTCCAGAGTGGAATTCCAAATCCTGGTCCAGCTGTCCAGGCTTGTTTCACAGGATGCAGTCTCATTTATTACTGATGCTAATATTTATAAGCAGATGTTACTGAGGAATACCAACCTTCCTTTCTGTTAAGTTCAAGCAGCTTATAAAACCAAATACTTCATCATCATCCTCTTCATCATCAGAACTGTCTTCCTGCACTTCTGCTTGCTGTTGAAAGGAAAAGCAACAACTCACACTGACATTCTATTTCCACTCTGTAGCAAAAGATGTTTTTCTTTCCAGGTGCTACCAGCAGATGAAAACCATTGAGGAAATCTGTACAAACACACACTGCAAATTCTGCTGCATCACTGAACACCTCAGTGTGCTCAGAGCCAGCTTTGGAGAGGGCCAGGCCATGCATCTTCTACAGCAGAGTCCTCTGAAAGGCACTAAAGGCTGATAGCTCACATTTAATAAGCAGCATCCCAGCCCAGGGGATGGAAATATCTTCAACAAAACCAATTTCCTTCAGTTTCTAATGGAGGAAATGTCTTGAAAAACCACAGAGCAACTAAGCTTTGACAGGGAGGGGGACAAAGAGCTGTGTCTTTGTAGGAAAGTCACAAGCTCCTATTTCTTATGGAGATGGTAACAAACCTCTCTATTGCATTTTCAGCTTCACTACACTGAAATTCAGGAAGGGAAAAGCCTTCCGTATGAAAAAAGAAACTAGCAATAACAATACATCAAATTCATTCTTTGCATGAAAGCAGGCATAGAAAATTTCAGTTCCCATAGAAAAATTATTCTTAAAACAGAAAAAGCAAGAAAGCATACAAATAACAGACAGGATCTCCTTCTGAAATACAGAAATAATGTCATTTTAACAAAGAAAGCTTTGTACTTCAATGACAAATATAATATCTGTCTTACCTTGATAATACTCCCAATGTGGTTCTGTTGTATCAATATATCAGTTAATTCAGCAGTGTTAACAGGAGCTTTTAGAAACAACTGGAAGACAGGAAACAAGTATTAAGTTTCAGGCACTGAGGGTATCTCATGGACCACTTAACAGAAAACAAAGTGAGATTTTTATTTATCTTCCTTCATTATAATACTGCAAACACTAACATCCAGCTGCTGGAGGTGCTTGCTCCTGCACCATCCACACGCTGCTACTTCCACACTGGTACCCTCTGGAGTTTGGTATGATCTGAAAACTGTGGCTATTCCATTCCTGAAGTGTCCAAGGGCAGGCTGGATGGAGCTTGGAGCAATCTGGGACAGTGGAAGGTGTCCCTGGCCAGGGCAGGGGGTGGCACTGGTTGGGCTTTAAGGACCCTTCCAATCCAAACTACACTGGGATTATCTAATAAAAGGAAGCAAAGTAATATATAAAAGCTATAAATCAATACAAAGAATGCGAGCTGATGCCTTTGCACAACTCCCTAGATATTATTTATCAATGCAATATCAAGTAGCCACAGTACCTGCTGCAGTAACTTCTTTATCCCATCATAGTCATTGTCTGATATGGAATGTGCCTCAAATTCAACATTCACTTCCTGTGGGGTATAACAGAGAATATCACACACATGTAGCAAGAGGTTATATCAGAACAAAGCTAAACTGTAAGAAACTTGAAGACAAGTAATGGCAAACAGCAGACACAGAACTTGTTTCCACCTTGCAGTAATGTCAGCAATTGTTATAATTTCTCCTGTGACCTTTAGAGAACATCTGTGAAAGCAACTTTTTAAAACTGACCCACCAATTGTGTCATGAACAAACCTTAAATGCCTTGCTCCTGCCATCTGGTTCACACAACTACAGATTTTGTAGCCACAGACTCCTCCTGGAGAGAGGCTTGATCCAGGCAGTTAAACCCTGGAAACTTCAGGACTGGGGTCTAACACCTTGGCTGCAGATTGCTGCAGACATTTAAATAATTACACCCAAACCCACAGTTCTGCTATTTCCCCAAAGCCTCCTGGCATCATTAATTAACCCCACTGTGGAACTCTGCAAGAGATGAGACCCAGGCTCTGCAGGAGAACTGCTGCTTCTCCTTCCAGAACAAATGCTGTGTGTCTACCAACATTTTTACTGCTATTCAATATTAAAAGTCACACACCTGCTTGAGGTTACTCTGCCCACCTATTCCACTGTTCAAGATCATTCAAGGTTATTCTGCCTTTTAATTGCCAGTTTCAATTACACCTCCTGAGCAACCTCAACAACTCAGCCTCACTTTTTTCACCACTGAGCCTCAGAATTCTTTCCAATCCCACATCAAAGTCATGGCCTTTGTTGTCCACTGGAAGAACAGTGTTAAAGACCTGTTTGCAGTGTAGAAAACAGGCACACGGTCCCTGGGGAAGCACTAAAATTCAGGAGACCCTGGCACAGGCTGCCCCTGGATCCCTGGAAGTAACCAAGGCCAGGCTGGACAGGGCTTGGAAAATCCTGGGACAGTGGAAAATGTCCCTGCCATGGCAGGGGGTGGAACTGGATGAGCTTTATATTCCTTTCCAAACCAATTCAGGGATTCTACAATAAAAGGAAGCAGATTTATTTTTATAATAATAAAACATAATAAAAGAGCTAATCCTCTGTGCTGACAGCACCATTTCCAAGCAGCCGCCCGCAGCCCCGCACCTGAGCAGACACACCTCGGGCCGGGGGGCTGTACGGCTGAAACCCCGGAGACCCCAACACTTGAAAAACAGTTAAAAATATAAAAACTTTCAACAACAACAACGCAGCGAACACGCTTCGGATCTCCGGCCCACAGGGACGCGCTCCCACAGGACACGCACCCAGAGCCCGCTGGGCCGGGTGGGGGACCAAACCCTTCCCGAACATCCCCTGACAGTCCCATCCCGAACATCCCTGACAGCAATCCCACACCAAACCCTTCCCGAACATCCCCTGACAGCAATCCCTCACCAAACCCTTCCCGAACATCCCGACAGTCCCATCCCGAACATCCCTGACAGCAATCCCAACCCGAACACGCCCTGCCAGTCCCACACGAGCAGGAGCCGTGCGGGGCCCGTCGCGCTCACCTCAGCGATGGGCTCGTCCGAGTCGGAGCACTCCGAGCCCTCGGAGCCGCTGTCGGAGCCCTCGGAGCTGCCGGAGCCGCTGTGGGAGCCCTGCTCCGCGGCGGGGCCCCGCGCCCGGCGCTTGGCCGGCGTGGCCATGGCACGGTGGAAGGGCGGTGTGTGTGGCCGCGGGATGTCGCCGAATGTCGCCGAGTGTGGCGGCAGGCAGCGCCCGCGGAGCGCGGAGGGGCCCGGGCGGCCGCGGAGCCTGAAGGGGGAGGCGCGACCCGCACCGCCCCGCTCTGCCGGATTTCCTCCTCGTGCTGTGGTGTCACTTCCTTCCAAAGGGAATTCCTTCACGGGGATGGTTGTCAGGGGTTAAATCAGGGCTGTTTGTGTCCCCCGTCCCTGCAGGAAGGGCTGGAGGTGGCACTCGGGGCTGTGGGGCTCGGCCGCAGCTCGGGCTCGGTGACCCTGGAGGCCGCTCCAGCCTCAGGGGTTCTGTGCTGTAAAAGGAACGGGGTGTCTGAGCATCTCCGACATTAGCGAAAAGTACTGTAAGTAGAAAGCAGCGTTAGTAAAAATTGCCAATCAAAGCAGGAGCCAGCCTGCTCGCTGTATACAAATCGTGTCCCGGCTTCCCCTGAACCAAATTCCCTGGATAATTCCAGACAGACCTCAGAGAAGGGTGACAGGGACAGCGCCGTAAGCACAGCGTGATTCTGGTCTTTATAAAAATGCCAGTCGGGAAAACGCGTTGAAATGTCCTCAGCACTGAAAGATGCTCATTACCGATCGAGCCTCGGTTGTATGGAACGTGTTCATTTAACGCTTTGTGTCTAATTAATGAAGAAATGAGCTGTTAATGAGGCCGTGGAAAGGAGAGCACTGGGCGCTCGCTGTTGCCAGCCAGAAGAAACGCAAGGCACAGAGCCTTGGGATGTAATTCCAGCCTTATAAATAATTTTAAATAACTGCTTCAAGTAGGATCAAATTTTCATATTCCCCTCAAACGCATTTGTGGGTTTTTTTATTTTGTTTTGGTTTGGGGGTTTTTGTTTGTTTGAGTTTTTTGTTTGATTGGTTTTTTGTTTTGATTTTATTTATTTTGGTTGGTTTATTGTTGGTTTTTGTGTTAGTTTTTTTTTTTTTAATTTGTTAAAGCTATGTTTGCTCTGTAAGCAATTAGATCATTGCTAAAATGTGAATACTGATATTCAGGGAAAGAATTTAGAGGAAGATGAATTTTCCTGTGTGTGTGATCTGTCAGGAGAATACCACACTGGTAACTGGGGTAAATGTGCACTTAGAGAGTGGATTTCTGTTTGTCTTATTTGTATATTTCCTTACTTCTTGTAACTTTGAGTTTAGCACCAAAGCTTGTAAGGAACTGAGAAGTATCATCTCCCATTTTTATGGCAGAATAGATGTTTTCAGTCCTGCCTTGTTTCCTAGAGTATCAGAGAAGGCGTATGAATATTATCTATATTATTATAGATGTATAAATATGTGCATATAGGCACATATATATTAAATAAAATCAGTATCTTTGCATGCTCATTTTGATGAGCAGAGGGTGAAAACTAGCATGGAAATTACCAGAAAAATTATATTTTTGTAGATAGGATCTGATTCAATTGCAGAACTTGGTGGCATTGTAGGGTTTGTTACAGCTTTTACAAAATATTCTTTAAAATGTGTTCCCCTTGATGAGTTTCACTAGAGCCTCTTCCTTGAGCAGTGTTATCTGAAGGCAGCACATTATTTTCTGCCCTTATCAGGGTGGGTGCTCCTGCCTGGAGAATGCACAATAACTGCTTACTCACTGTGTAAGCAGCAGTACAACTGGTAGCAACCCAGTTCTTGGAGCTGTTAAAGCCACTGTTTGAGTTAAAAACTCTCTAGATCTAATTTAGATAAACTCCATTCTTGTATTTCAGGGTTCTGCTGGGCTTCCGTGGTGAACAATGAAGGTTCTGCTGCTGAAGGATCCCAAAGACAAAGATTCAGGACCAGATCCTTATATTAAAGTGAGTAAAAGTTGAGAAAACAAAAAAAAAAAAAGTGTCACTTCTTTATTAAATGTGAATGCAGCTGTTTCAAGTGGGCAAAGGGGCTTAATCAAAATTAGAAGTGCATGTCTGAAATTATGCAGAGAGAAAAAGTATCTTGGAAAATAGCCCTTCCTGCAAAAACTTGTATTAATTATTGGACATTTGTACTGAATTCATTGTAACGCTCTCAGCAAAGTACTGATATTAAACCAGCTTCATTTGAATTAATTACTATTGATTATGGTCATATGGACAGAATAAAGATTAATTAAGAATAAAGAAATTCTTTGTGTTTTTACTGGGAATGTGATGTAAAATAGAGGTTACCTGTTGCTGGGGTTCCTTGGTCATGTGAGTAAATCTCACTCATAAGAGGAAGAATTCCTGATAAAAGAGGATTATTTCTTTAGAAGAAACCTACTGACAGAATTACAGAGATGCACAGGGACATTTGCAGGACTGGGTGGGCACTTGGGGACTTCAGAGTTTTGTGCTGGTGTCTCCTGTACCTCAGAAGGTCCCATAGCTGTTTGTTTAATAAAATCTTGTAATATTAAATAATTAACAAATCTAAACTAGATTTACCAGGGAAAGGAAATAAAATGCCTTTTTATTTTGCTTTAGCAAAGAGAAATGCTGCTGCTGACTCAGTCAGCTCTTTGAAAAAGCAAAAATGCTCTCTGGAATTTATTTCAAGAGCTGCAAACCTTTTCTTGACAGGAATTAGGATCATACAGCTTGGAAGCAACGTTGGTCCCAGTTTTGTCATTTGAATTCACCTCTATTGACAGCTTATTTGAGAAGGTAAGCTTGAAATTCTTTCAGTTGTCTTATTTCCAGCAGGATTTGGTTGCCAAGATCCCATGTCATCACTCTCTGTGTGGTGCCTCTTTTTGTTGCCACAAACCAGCTTTGTGCAGTAAAATTTCATGTACAGCAAAATTTAAGGACCTTGCCCTTGCTTGTTAAAGAATTAAATTGGTCAGACAGAATTCATATTTAAATTCTGAATTTTCACAAGTGTTGTTGTGCCTCATTTCAGGCAGTTATTGCAGCTGTTCTGTTTGTCACAAGGTTGTGAATAATTGATCAACTGATTTTTAAAATTAATTTATGTATATATATTTTTTTTATTATTTCTTACATTTATTGTTTCTAAATAGCTTTCCCATCCAGAGTGCTATGGAGGCCTAGTTTTCACCAGCCCAAGAGCATTAGAAGCCATCAAGATCTGTTTAAAAGAGAAGAGTAAGAAAGAGGGTAAGTACATATTGATATTCCTTGGTCTTTTTCTTCCAGCATCTTGTGAAATTTGGATTTTAATGAATTTTATTTCACCCACCAGTAGATATTTGGAGCATGATTTTTTAGAAAAACCTGAATTTCACAGTTCTTTTAACATCATAAAGGGCTCGTGCTACACTGAGCTTTTAGGGGTTATGTTTTCCACACTTAAAAATGAAGGAAAGGAGCTTTTGGTGCAAATTACTGCTCAGTGAGAGCTTTGCCAGCTCTGGTTTAGGAATATTTTGCTGCAGTGCCTGGTTTGCTTGCTGACTGCTGTCCTCCCTTAAAGAGAAGATCATCTCATAAGAAATTGCCATCACTTCTGTGCCTGTATAATTCATATAAAATGCTGCAGAAAAAGGCAGTTCTCTGTCTTGAATAAGAAATTTCTCAAGTGAATTAATTATTAGCTAAAAAATAGTGAAGTGCTGATGCATCAAAGCCAAGAGATGAGGAGTGAGGAAAAACTCTGCTAAATAGAAATACCCATCACAATGAAATGCCAAATCCTTGCAAACTTTTCCAAATTCTTGTCTTGGCTGATCTGGTGTGGAGTTTCTGCTTCACCTGCTCAATTTCTGGGCTGTGGACAAATCAAACCTTACTCTTGTAAGCAAGGTTACACTTTTGAGTAAGCAGTAAATGCACTGAGACCATCAGCAATTGTAGCACGTCAGCAGCAGAGGACAACCGATGAAGATTTTAGGTCAAAAGTAATCTCTAAATTTCATCCCTAATCTTAATTAGCACTTTTGGAAAATAAATATTTTAATAATAAAAATGAGTCTGTAGTTCCTATTTGGGTTCCTCTCAAAGGCAGTAAAGCCTTGTGGTTTTACTTCTGATTTTTATTTTTACTGTTGTAGTTTGTATTTCTTTTTTCACCCCCAGTAGTCCCAGAAAAGACTCAGTGTCCTGTGCTGCTCTGGTTAAAGCAAGGCAGTAAAAACTGGTGTATATATTTTATATTATATATAACTTGGTGTATCTATTTTTGATCCTTTAGAATTTGTACATCCAGATTTGCTGACTGTGTAGTGGAGTTTTAGTTATTTTTATCATTTTGCTGCCTTTGTGGATTAACAGAAGTCCAAATAGTCATTTACCATTCACATTCTGTTGCCATGTGCTTAAATTTCATTTAATTTAGTATAATTTAATGTTTTTCAGCCTGGTCAAAATCTCTTAAACAAATGTGGAATATCAAACCAACATATGTGGTAGGAAAAGCTACAGCTTCTTTAGGTAAGCTGGGGTTCAAAAAAGAAAAATTGGCTAAATCTGGCTTGTAAGTACAATGTTTGGAGGAGGAGCTGCTGTTCAAGGGTGCTGAGGAAGAAACTTAAGTTTTAAACTGCTTAATTTGGAAGAGAGGTAATTATATAAACATGAAATTATCCATGCTCCAGCCAAGGACATCCATGGATCTAATCCAGCCTCTGGATTTCTGCTGCTTTTGTTGTAATGTGATGGTCACTGCTTGAAAAATTGGGTCAAAACGGGAAAAAAACCCTTTATTCTTAATTTGAATGTGGTTTTGTCACTGCTTTTGGAAGTGAAATTGCACAGATGATTTGTGCACAAATTACTTGTGTGCCTCCCTTTCCATCCCAGGGTTCTGTGACAGGAAATCTGAATTGTTCTCATTGTTTTCCATGGTTTTTTCTTTGCTGCTTTTGGTTCCAGTGGAAGAAATTGGTCTTGTTCCACAAGGAGAAAAGGCTGGAAATGCTGAGAAATTAGCTGAATATATTTGTTCAAGTAAGTGGCTCAAATGTTGGAATTAAATTAAGGTAATGTCCCTTCCATCATTTCAGAATTTCCTTAAGGTAAAACCAAATGCATAGTGAGGCAAAAATACTTCAAAACACATATACAAGATACTAATTTGCATGTAATCTTAGACCCTCTAGTTAATTAATAAATACTATACGAGCCAGCAGGAAAAAAGTTTATTTTTACTAGAAGATCAGAGCTGTAATGATTGGAAATTGCTGCTAAATCAGAAGATTTAAGTCCTGGTGACTTTCCCCAAAATTACCTTGTGGTTCCAGAGGGATCTGGTTTTCAGCACCAAAGCTGAGTGGTTTTGAAGAAATTAAAGTGATGCTCTAAGTTTTGTTCAACCATTTTGTTATGGTTAAATCTGTAACTCTTCTCAACCTATTATCAGATTATTGGGGAGTTTTAAAAGTCCATTTGCTGACTTCTGTTTTTACTGTAATTTGTTAACATTTCCAGTAGCAATAAGGAAGATTTTTAGACTGAGGGGCTGTTTATTTTTTGAGTGGATGGCTCAGTGGAAGCACTGAAAAAGGAGTTTTTGTGCAGATGTGAGAGGTGCTGAGCAAAGTCTGCTCAGTAGCAGAGATTTATAGGAAAAAGAAAAATGGGATGGGAGCTGGGAAGGATTGTTTTTGCTGGGCACAGTGCTCCTTAATTCACTGGCAAATAAAATACTTCAGCCCTAGAGAATATTTAATGATAAAAATGAGAGCTGGCAACACAAGATCAAATAATAAATTCTGAAAATTAAAAATACAGCACGAAGGTGTCATGAGTGAAGAATAACCCATCTCCTCTCTTCTAATAGCAAATGTATTAAAGCAAAGAAAGCTTTCAGCTAATTTTTAGTGCTGGAAAATCTACTTCTGGCAATGAATTAATATTTGCCAGGGATTCTTTTGAGCAGAAAGACAAGAGAAATACCTGTTTATTGTGTTGCATGAAGGTGAAAAAAATTAACCAAGCAGTGAATTTCAGTCACTGGAGCCTGTTTGTTGTTGAGACATAGAAATATCCTCCAGGATTTACTGGGCTGTGCATATTTAAATCTCTCAGCTGATCAAGTGATTTACAACAACCTTGGAAGTACAGATGAAATTATCTCATGTTCCCTATTATGTATAAATTCATTTTTGTTTGTGCATGAAGAAGTAAATTAAAGGAATAGTTCTGAATTTCTTGTATCATGAGGGGTTATTGCCAGAATAAAATTAAAAGCTGAAATAATGAGATTTTTTTTTTTGGTTACCTTTTGTGCTTTGGTACCCAATTCAGTTTAAGGGATTGGGAGATAAAGGAATTTACTCCAAGACAGTCTGGCTTTACTCTTCTCAAGGCAAATACTTGGCTACAGAAGCAAGAGATCCCAGTCCTTGTTGTGTCACTCAGGCCTACCAAGGAATTTTTCTGTGCCAAAAGAATTGGGGTTTGTTCACAGGTATCACACTGACATTTCAAATAACTGCCATGACTTGCAGCAGAATTGATGCTGGAACATTTCAATTTTATTTAATTTTAAAATCCTTTTTACATTCTGAGCCAAGTTCATTTTTCCTCTTATTTTTAGTTTTAATTTTTAGAATATCTGGCTTCTTTTTAAACCTCAGTGTGCAGTCAGGACACTCAGGTGTGTCTGGGTTGGCTGCTGCAAGGGTCTTTCCACTTGATTTTCACTCCACTCCCCTTTTTTTTTCTTAATCCCTGAAGAATGTCTGCTTGAATAAACCAACAATCTCCTTCCAGCACTCAAAAGCATTTCTTCTCTAGTAATTGTCTCTTAAAAATATATTAACAAATCTGAATTAGTAATAAAATTATTTCATTTCTTTGGAAAGCTGAATGCAAAGCTGTATCAATCCATAGAATTTAATAGTGAAATTTTCTCTGTGTTTCTTATTTATAGAAAAGGCAAAAGCTGTGCAAAGCAAGTCTGCTGTTAAATTCCTAATTTACAAAAGCAAGTGAGGATATCCACTCCCACGCCAGCCGTGCAACCAGAATCCTTTTTCCTTGGGGAATTAAGAGAATGGAATTGCAGATAGAAAAGTTTCCAGCACAGTATTGTCCTTTTCTTTGTCTGCCTGAATATTCTTTTCCAGAGAGCTCTGTCATTTATTGAGCAGGACAGATTTTAAATATCAAATTGAGGCAGGTTGTGCTGAGGAGGAGATAAAGTGCATTTCTATTCCCCTTGCCCTTCTACAAAGGAAGTTATCTTTTTAGCCAATATTCATATTCTAGTTATGGAACATTTTTAATGTTCCTGCTAAGTAGCCTGTCCTGTGAATTGGGGCTGTGGATGTTTTCAGTTACCTCAGAGCTGAGTCTGTGGTGAGGCATTTGATAAATCAGCATTTGATACCTTTAAAATGTATTAAATCACATTTACTCTTTATTAAAGGCCTGAGTTAATTGAAGTTCTTGTTTGTGTGTTTACAGGAGAGAAACCCAATTCCTCAGCTCTCCTGTTTCCTTGTGGAGCCCTGAAAAGAGAAGTACTTCCTACAGTGCTTAGAGAAAAAGGTTGAACTTCCCCTGGAGACCCATTTTAATTAGTCAGTGATGATAAAAGTTGTACCTAAAGCTTGTGAACCAAATTGGAAGAAGTAAAAGTGGAACTTGCTGAGGAGAGGACAGGAGTAAACACTGGGAACTTGGATGGCTGCCCACAGCTCTGGGACCTGCAAATCTTTCATAGAACTTTTATGTGTCTTTTTTAGCCTAAAATAGTTACAATTCAGTGCAGTTAGGATGTTGTGAGTGCTGAACTGAAATAATAGAAATTAATGAATGAATTAATTATGATTGCTTGTCCTAATTGCAGGCATACCCCTGGAAAGCCTCACTGTTTATCAAACAGCCCAACACCCTGATCTGCAGGAATCTTTGAGCAGTTACTTCTCCCAAGAGGTACTGGACACTGATGTAGTTTGGGATTTTCTGAGGCAGGTGACAATGCTTCCCAGAATATTCTTTTTTTGGAAGTAGTGTAACTGAAATATCACTGGGCATCTTTGCTGTGCATCACAAATCAGAATCCAGGAATAACCTGCCCTACAGTTTGTGTAAAAGTAATTGCTTTTCATTTTTCAAGATTGCCCTTCTGGTTTTTCTATGTTAGGAGCCTCCATCACAGAATTACAGAATCAAGGAATGGTTTGGGTGGGAAGGGAGCTTAAAGCTCATGCAGTGCCCCCCCTGCCATGGCAGGGACACCTCCCACTGTCCCAGGCTGCTCCAAGCCCTGTCCAGCCTGGCCTTGGGCACTGCCAGGGATCAGGGGCTCCTTTGGGCACCTGTGCCAGGGCCTTACACCCTCACAGGGAGGAATTCCTTCCCAAAATCCCATCTAACCCTGCCCTCTGGCACTGGGAGCCATTCCCTGTGTGCTGTCCCCATGTGCCAAGGCCCTGGCACACTGCTGGAGGAGGGAGCTGTGCCAACTAAATCCCATCTAACCCTGCCCTCTGGCACTGGGAGCCATTCCCTGTGTGCTGTTCCCCTGTGCCAAGGCACTGGCACACTGCTGGAGAGAGTGAGCTGTGCCAACCCCTTCTTCTTTCCCCCAGGGGATCCCTGCCAGCATCGTGTTCTTCAGCCCATCTGGTGTCAAATTCTGCCTCCAGCACATCCAGAAGCTTTCAGGGGATTTGATCAACCAAGTCAAGGTATCTTCTCTTAAAAATGGTGGAATACAAGAGGCAATAAATTTGAGGTGGGCAAATGAGATAGAAGGGCTGTTAAACTACTGCAAACCTAGATTTTATCTTTGGTTTGTGTTTATTTCTCTGAAGAAAACCCCAGTTTATAGTAAATACAAATGATATTATACAGAATTATAGAATCCTAGAATGGGTTGGGTTGGAAGGGACCTTAAAACCCATCTTGTTCCACCCCCTTGCCATGGGCAGGGACACCTTCCACTACACCAGGTTGCTCCAACCCCATCCGACCTGGCCGTGGCTGGATTTTAAAAAAGAAATTGTTTTCCCCAACCAATTCCCCCATCTCCGTTGGGATAGACTTCATTTTCCCTTAGTGATGCCATGGTGTGAGGAGCTGTTGCTTGCACCAGGCTGCAGCTGATTAAAATTCCTCTCACTTTTCCCTGTTCTGTGGGACTCGGAGCTTTCAGTGTTTGTAATGGCGAGATAAATACTCATCCTCCCCGAGTCACTGCTAAGTAGCTCCATTGATGGGTGGCTTTTAATGCTGCAAATCTCCAGCCTGAGCTGGGGGAGCTGATGGCTGGGAGGAGCTGAGCTGGTGCTGTCCCTGCAGTTCGCTGCCATCGGCCCCAGCACGGCAGAGGCGCTGCGAGGCGCCGGCATCGCCGTGAGCTGCACTGCAGGGAGCCCCACGGCCCAGGACCTGGCTGCTGCCCTCCACGCTGCCCTGCACCCACGCAGCTGCTCGGGGCCCCTCTGAGGGCACAGCCTGCCCGGCGAGGTCTGCGTGGTGCTCCAGGAGGGCTTGTCCAATTTACAGACCTGCTGTCCTGCAAGAACGTGGGTTTTGGGATCATGAAGCACTGTCCTGGTCAGGGATGGGTGTGAGAAGGTTGCACTTAAATACTCTAAGAAAGCTGGGATCTGTCCAGCATCCTTAAAATATCCAGCTCTTCCCCTTCCTCCTGTGTGCACTGTGAATATTTTACCCTTGAAAAGCAGCTGTGAACACTGGGACACTGAAACCAGCCCCACACCTCCTCACCTCAGGTATCCCTCAGCACACAGCTCAGGTTGCATTGCTCTGTATGATCAGTTTTACTTGCACTTTTGTAGGAAAAACCCCTGTTCCAATGAAGTATTTTCTTCCGTAAACTTGTTTGTTTGTTGTTCTGCTTTTCAGATATTTGTACAAAAATGTTAATTGTAGATTCTTAGTGGAACAGGAGAACTCTTGTGGTGAAGTTGCTCTGTGTGGGGCTAATTCAGGTCAGCTGTTGCCCCTTGTTACCCTAACAGGGTCTTAAAAATTAGCTTTTGGTTTCTGTTCCTGTAATGAAGGATTTATTAACAGGGAAATAAACTGGCTTATCAGAGTTAATAATGGTGTTAGAGTTGTCTGTTCTGGATGTGGTTTATGCTTTAATTGTTTATCTCTGGAAGGGGAAAAATAATCCTATTTAGCACTAACACTCCCTCCAGCTAATGCCAGCGGCCTCACAGGAGATTTGAATCATAATGTACTCATTTATAATCCTCCTGAAAGTCATTTGTGTTGTTAGCACAGTGCTGAGGATCCTGGAGTAACAGAGAAACTCATTTGCTGCACAGTTCAGGTGAAGTCTGAGGATGGGACCTGAATTTCCATCCATGTGAGAGGCTCCACACCTGGAACAAGAGGGAAGCCAAGTTCTGTTCCTGTAAACTGAATAATTCCAGAGTGTGGGGTCATCAGTCACACCAGGCTCAGCAGGACATGTTTGGCTTATGAAACACTTCCCTGGAGCCAAGTTCTGTTCTTGTAAACTGAATAATTCCAGAGTGTGGGGTCATCAGTCACACCGGGCTCAGCAGGACACGTGTTTGGCTTATGAAACACTTCCCTGTCTCAGGATGAAATGGAATCCCAGGCTGGTTTGGGTTGGAAGGGACCTTAAACTCACCTAGTTCCGTAAGAATGCATGTAAAACCCATTCCTACCGTTCTCAAAAGTGGTTTATACTGTTATTATGCAATAAAGAACCACATTTATTTGCAGAAGAGCATCAGGACATCAGATGTTATAGTCTGGATAATTTTATTTTCAAATAATACATATTAGCAAAAAAACCCAGAGTCCTCACATGTTGAGGTAAGACCCCACTCACTGTTTGATTGGAGTTTACAGATCTTTTGGAAAAAAAATTAAAATTTGTCTTTCAAATAGTTTTAATTCTGTTGAATTAAAGTTTGCAGCTCTGAGGAGGGTCATAACCAAGAAAAACGAGGCAGACTGATGTTTATATTTAATAAATAAATTTTTATTTAAAAATATCCTCTCATTTATTCACAGTTTCAAGTCTGAAAAAGATAATACTATTCTTGATCAATTCCAACATAGCTGAAACCATTCACTTTCCAAAACAAAATCCCAGAGATGGCTGATAAACTTCAAGAGTCACATCAAAGCTAGAAAGGCACATGTTTTTGTGCAGGATCCTCCCTGGGATTAAGAAGTGCATCCACATATCCACAGAAATCTCCTGGTACAGCTTGGGCTGCCTTTAGCAGTGGAAGCGTTCCAGTGCAGCCCTGCTTACAAAACACATTTCAATAAATACCAAACCAGAGCAGCTGTGAGGTTACACTTTATGCAAAACACGGATTTCACTGCAAGAGAAAAAACCAGGAATTTCCCCACGGTGCAAAAGTTACATTTTCATCTCCAGAACTCCAAGCTGGCATTTCAAACAAAGAAACGCTGCGAGCCGAACACGGCGAGCTCTGTGGCGACAAAAAGGAATGCCCGTGCTTTCCCAGGTTCCAAGGGAACAACAGTGCTGAGAGCTCACCCCAACACCCACAAACAGCCCTGGGAACACGCAGTGCTCCCAGCAAGGCACTGGTGCTGCAGCCTGCAGGCTGCCCTCAGTGCGCGCCGGGGCTGCCCTCGCTCCGCGGGCCCAGCTGCTCCAGCAGGCTCAGCAGCAGCTCCGTGCGCTCCAGCAGCGACGGCCCCTTGTTGGCAGAGGCCCGGAGCAGCAGGGAGTAAACCTGCTTGTTTGTTCTCAGAGCTGCTTCCTCCTCGCTGCTGCCCCTGCAGAGAGAGCAGAGAGGCACAGCTCGTTACTGACCACAGCTCTGCGGGCTGCTCAAGAGCATTATTCAATAATGCTGGTGAGTGTCCCTGGGGATATCCTCAGCTCCCACCATTCCCTGCACTGCAGTCACAGCATTCTGTTTATAATGCAGGCAGGAACATAAAATATAAATATAATAGAATATAAAGTGTACAAGCAGCAGTCAGGTTAATTGCAAGTGCTTCAGGAATGACTGAGAAATGTTGAAGCAAATTAAATTCATCACACGCTTGGCAGGAATCAGGTTCATTTATTAAACAGAACAGGTAGTCAATAAAAAGCCACTGAAATGCAAAGTATTTCTGGGATAAGTTACAAGTATTCCCAGAACAAAGTATTACTTTCAATTACTTTTCCCCTCCAATTTGCACAGCCAAGTTCTGCTCATGACTCCACTTTGGGAGGGTAAAACTGATTTCATCCATTTTGACTGCCAGGCTGCAAGTTTGGCTATCAAACACTAATTTTATGGCATGTTTTACTGGTTTTTTTCCAAAGAGCACCTGAGTCCCTGAAGCAGCATTTGAGCTCAAATTTCCCCCCTTTTCACCCCATTATCAAGGCAGAAGGCAGAACTTCCCCTCTGCAGAGCAGAAAGGTGGAAATGCACACAGGATATACAGAAGGCACAAGAAGGGTTAAATCAAAGGTAGCTTCAAGCTTGGCCTCAAAGTTTCAAGGAGCTGAGGAGATTTATTTAAGAGTCCCCTTGCACAGCATTCAAACTGTAACAGGTTCCCCTGTGTGGAATCTTCAGTGCAAAACCTCAGGATGATGCCAAGGTAAATGTGGAGGTTAAAACCCTCCAAAACAAAAAATGAGGAGTTGCTCATGTTATGAGACAACAGAACTAAACCCATTTACTCAGTTAGCTGTGACATCTGCTTGGTAACATAAATTATCCTGTAAAAATCCTCTGTATTTCACATATCCAGACTGCCACCTTGTGGAAGCTCTTTTTTAGGAGGTGAAAGCTCCTAACATTGCCTGAAAAACAGCAAAAAGGCACCCAAGGCTGTGTTCTCTTCTCATGTTTTTTATTTACCAGTCTCCTAATATCAGCAGACAACTTCTTGGGCACAATGAACTCATTTCAGAGTTTACTTTTGGCAAAACAGCTCTTCCATCAGCAGTGCTTCAATCCCCAAAACTATTAACCCAACTTCCAAGCCTAAAAGAATCCTCTAAACCTATTGCCACATTTTCAGAACTGCACTTTATGTAACATTAGGAGCAGCTCCTGCAGTCACACACTTGCTGCAGGGGGAGTAAAAGGTATTTTCTGGGTCCCAGAAGAACACCACACACATTCAGATCGAATCAACAGAAGGAGTGGGGGAAGGAATTTGCTGCCACACCAAATCTCAACATCTCTTCAAAGTCAGCACAAAAAGAAGTCAGGTTTGTCCTGAATGCCAGCAGCAGGACAGAAGACTCCATTAGGAGTTAATAAATTCTCTGACACCAGTGCACACCTCCCCATATCCATCCCTCTCTTTGCTGCATTACTGATGTGCCTGAATTTCTTCTCAAGTGCTCTGCTTGCCAAACTCCAGTGACATTTTATCAGCAAGATGCATCAAGAGACCAGCAGCACCCAGGAGCTTCTCCCCCAGAAACTCTGCTCAGTCACACACCAATCTCACTCCAGTCAGGATAAAGGACACCAAGTTTCAACTTACCCAATCTTTTTTTTGCTTGAAGTTAACAATTTAATGGATTGGAGGAGAAGGAAGGACATCCTGGACTCAAAAATCCCAAGCAGTTTCAAGACTTCCTCTTTATTAAGGCCTGCAGAGGAATCGTTCACTGACACGCTCTCAGCAGGACTTTTATCCTTGCTGATCTACAGGAGACAAACAACCCAAAATAATTCCACTGAATTCCACCTCTTAAATACAGGGAATGGTTTAAAAAAACCCTCTTGCAGGTGAGCTGACTTTTTGATGTGTTACCCAAACTGCCAGCAAGGGACACACACGTCAGCACTCCTGCAAGTAATTAGTGACTGAGGCACCAGGAACATAATTCACACTGGCTACAGACAGCCCTGCATGTTTAATATTTAAATATTAAATATACCAGAGACAGAGAACTTCTTGTATTATACACAGATTCTGAAGTTCTTAGAGAAGACTTTTAAGGGATAGCAGAGCTGCACAAAAAGAAATTCATTCAGAGTCAGACCACATTTGTACAGAAATATGTTTTAATCCATCTTTGGATCATGTTCTAGAGGAGTTTTTTTTTATCCACTTCCAGGTTAAGGGAGAGCTGCAATACAACTAACTCTGTCCACACTCTTTGAGCCACTGGCTCTATGGAGAAGTAACCAAGGAATATTTTAACTGCCAAATGCCCCTTCATTTGTGAAGGCATAAGCTGGAAGGGGGCAGGTATCACACCACTTGAAGTTCCTTTACCTGTTCAGTTTCTGCCACAAGCTCCTTCCTGATGAGCTGAAATGCACCCTTGGTTTTGGTCATTATATCAAGGGCCCCAGACAGAGTCTTCAATTTCCCAGCACTGCTGTTCTGACCTAAAAAAATTAAGTACAAAAGGCTAATGTTACAGACTGTATTTCTCTTCCATCCAAAAACTTCAGGAGTTAGGAAGAAAGCCCTTACTGCCCTAGCCAGCTGAAAAGCAGCAAGATAAAAGTGCCTTGTCTCCTCTCTTGAGGAAAATTCCATTCTGAGCAGCAGATCGCTCCTGCTCTCATATAAATTTAGTTATCTAAAAATGAAACCAAGTAGGCAGTGGTGGTTTGGAAAGCTGTTTAAAGCCAGAGCTGCACTTACTGGCCATCTGGAACTCTGCAAAGGCCACTCTCTCCAGCTGCACACGCAGGAACTCGCAGGGGGCATCCTTCAGGAGCTGGAAGAGCCGCACTGCTTTGCTGTAGTGCAGCTCAGCGAGGACACGGTGCTGCTTCCTCAGGTGCTCATCACCAACCTGCACTCACAGGAGGGCACACAGTGAATCCCCCCTCTCTGCATGTTCATCAGGAGCCACTGCAAAGGCTCACTTGGAGAGGGTTGGGAAGCAGCACGCGTTTCTTTGGTTAAGTAATTGAAATAAATATATCCCAGCTACAGGTAGAAAATAAATATCAGCTCCACACATACTGAACATGTTAAAGATGGAGTTCAGAAATCCAAAGAGCCTGGGGCAATACCTGGTTCCTGAGGCAGCTGTGGTACATGGAAGCCAGCCTGTGGTGGATGGTGGCAGCTCGGTACTGGCACAGGGGCTGTCGTTC